AGTATTAGGGTAGTTGGAGGGAAAAATTATATGTATATATATATATATATAGATAGATTAAAAAAATATTTTCACATTAATGATGTTGTAAGTAAGAATTAAAACTAATAGGAGGAACCACCAGAAAGAGGAAACAAAACACAACAGAAGAAAAAAATAGCAAATAGTATGCTTTGATCTGCATTCCAAACTCCATAATTCTTTCTTTGGATGTGGATGGCATTCTCCATCATGAGGCCTTTGGAGATGTCTTAGATCCTTGTATTGCTGAGAGGGCTTAAGCCTATCAAAGTCAGTCATCACTCAATGTGGTTGTTACTGTGTACAACATTCTCCCGGTTCTGCTCACTTCACTCAGTGTCAAACCATACAAGTCTTTCCAGGTTTATCTGAAATCTGCCTGTTCATCATTTTTTATAGCACAATATACTGTGTACAACATTCTCCCGGTTCTGCTCACTTCACTCAGTGTCAAACCATACAGTTCTTTCCAGGTTTATCTGAAATCTGCCTGTTCATCATTTCTTATAGCACAATAGTATTCCATTACATTCATATATCACATTCACAGTTATGATTACTATCTGTGTCTTTCTCTCCATCCTTCCCCCCCGTTTATGCTCTTCTTTCTCCTTTCTCCTTTTCCTTCCTCACTAATGTGTTTCTTTCTCCTTTCTCCTTTTCCCTCCTACTAATGTTTTGCTTTTGACCACTGCCTCCCTCAGTCCCACCTCCCTTTAGCCCCCTCCCTTTTCTTTCCCCTTTTCCCTCCTACCACCTATAGGGCACTAATTATGTTATTCCCTTCTTTTTTCTTTCTTTCTTTTTTTTTTTTAGGCAATTGGGGTTAAGTGACTTGCCCAGGGTCACACAGCTAGTAAGTGTCAAGTGTTTGGTCTGAGGCTGGATTTGAACTCAGGTCCTCCTGACTTCAGGGCTGGTACTCTATCCACGGCGCCACCTAGCTGCCCCTATGTTATTCTCTTCTTGAGCCAAATCTGATGAGAATAAGGTTCAAACAATGCTCATCTCCCTCCCTTCTTTCCGTCTGCTATAATAGGTTTCTGTGCCTTTTCCTGTGATGTAATTTACCCTTGTCTGCCTCCTTCTTTCCTTTTCTCAGTATATTTTCTTAGTTAGATGAGATTAATTCACTTACTTGGATCCATTTAACCCACTTGATTAGATTTTTTTCATCATTACATCAAAGTCAATTTATACCCACTCCTTTTATGTATACCTCTTTAACATGGTGTAATAACAATACAGTTCTCAAGAGTTACAAGTGTCATCTTCCCTTGTAGGGATGTAAACAGTTTGCCCTTATTAATAACATGTTGTTTCTTTCTGTCTCATTTACTTTTTTATGTCTCTCTTGAGTCTTATATTTGAAGATCAAATTTTCTGTTGAGCTCTGTTCTTTTTATCAGGAAGGTATGGAAGTCCCCTATTTCATTGAATATCTATCTCCTCCCCTGAAAGATCATGCTCATTTTTGCTGGGGAGTTGATCCTTGGTTGTAATCCAAGCTCCTTTGCCTTACAGAATATCATATTCCATGTCCTACCATCTTTTAATGTAGAAGCTGCAAGGTCCTGTGTAATCCTGACTGTGGTTCCATGATATTTAAATTGTTTCTTTCTGATTGCTTGCAGTATTTTCTCTTTGACTTGGTAATCTTGGAATTTGGCTACTATATTCCTTGGCGTTTTCAATTTGGGATCTCTTTCAGGAGGTGATCAGTGGATTCTTTCTGTGACTATTTTACTGTCTGGTTCTAGGACCTCAGGAATATTTTCCTTTATGACTTCCTGAAAGATACTGTCCAGGCTCTCTTTTTCATTGTGATTTTCAGGTAGACCAATAATTTTTAAATTGTCTCTTCTGGATCTATTTTCCAGGTCAATTGTTTTACCAATGAGGTATTTTACATTTTCATCTATTTTTTCATTCTTTTGTTTCTGTTTGACTGATTCTTGCTCTCTTTCAGAGTCATTAGCTTCCATTTGCTGAATTCTAATTTTTAACAAATTGTTTTCTTCTATTAGATTTTGTACCTCCTTCCCCATTTGGCAGATTTTATTTTTTAGGGACTTGTTTTCTTCAGTGTACTTTTTTTTTCTAGTTGGCCAATTGAATTTTTTAAGGACTTGTTTTCTTTTTTTAATTTATTTTTATTAATTTATTTTGATTTATCAACAATCACTTCCATATGCTTTTGAGTTTAAAATTTTTCTCCCCCTTTTCCCCCACCAACCTCCCAAAGACTGTGCACAATCTGATATAGGCTATATACATATATATATACATATATATATGCCTTTTTATTAAACATATTTTCAGATTTGTGATATTGGAAGTAAGATTTAGAACCAATAGGAGGAACCACCAGAAAGAAGAAACAAAACTCAACAGAAGAGAAAAAAAATTAACAAATAGTATCCTTCGATATGCATTCAAATTCCATAGTTCTTTCTTTGGATGTGGATAGCATTTTCCATCACGAGGCCTTTGGAGATGTAAGGACTTGTTTTCTGCAGTTAATTTTCATCCTTCCTTTTCCAAGCTATTGACTTTCTTTTGCATACCTCTCATTTCTTTTCCCACTTTTTCTTCTATCTGTCTCATTTGACTTTTAAAATACTTCTTGAGCTCTTCTAAGAAGGCTTTTTGGGATTCAAATCAGTTCATATTCCCTTTTGAGGTTCCAGATGTGGGTTTGTTGACAATATTGTCCTCTTCAGAATTTCTGCCTTGATCTTCACTCTTCCCATAATAAGAATCTATCCTATGTTTCTTTTTGCTCGTGGTGTTTGCTTATTTCTGGCCTTTAAAGAGATTAAGCTCTCCTGCTGGGAGCAGAGGGCACTGACCCAGGCTTCTTGTTTTGGGAGCCTAGGGCCTGGTCGATGGCTTTGTGTGCTGGGGCCTCCAATATTGGCAGTTGGAGGCTGTAGGGTTCTGGCAGGTTACTTGGTGTTGGGCTGGAATCAGCAATACTGGAACTCTAGGGGTAGGATTGGGTAGTGTGGCTCCTGGAGATTTCCTGCTCACCCAGGCCTTTCCTTCCTTTTGCTTTCTCCAGCTCCTTTCAGATGGATGTTGTAGGGTGTTTATCCACTTGGGGCCCCTTGGAGCACTGCTTCCCTTAGTTTTGCTGAGGCACTGGGAGAGCCAGTGGCTGTAGAATGCCGAGGCCCCTGGTGGCTTTCTGAGCTGGTTTCCACCAGTTCCCCCACCCTCAGTGAGGCACTTGGGGGTCCAGGTGTTGGTGTTTGCCTGCTCCACCACCTGGGCTTCAGGATCTCTTCCTGGCATGCTGCAGTGGGGCTTTCCACTAGCTTGTTGGGATGCCTCCCGTTCTTTACTGCTCCCCTTCCCCCAAGGTAAGAGGGGACTTTTCAGTTAATTCCTCAAGCTACCTGGGCTACCCGACTGCTGCACCCCATCTTTCTTCTGGTTCAGTTGTTCCAGGGTTTTTCCTGGGTTGATATTTTCTGGGCTTTCAGGGATTAATAGGGGAGGATAAGAGAGACTCACTTCTTACTTCGCCATCTTGGTTCCCGGAAGCAGAAGTCCTCTACCTCTCAATCTTTACCTGTTTCTCTGACTCCCATTCTGAGTCTCTTCATATTTCCCACCTTTCTATGTTTCCCTCCATCCTTGTTTTACCATTTCTCCCTCACTCTCTTGTCTATTCATATCTCCACCTAACTTTCTCTGATTGCTTTCCTGTTCCCTTCCCCTTTCTTTCCCTCCCCTTTTCTGTCTTTCCCCTTCTCCCTATCTGTTCAGTCTTTCCCTATACCTCTTTATCATTTCCTATCTCCCCTCTTTTGCTTGTTTCTCTTTCTCTCTTTGTCTCCCCATATCCACCTCTCTATCTCTGTCTCTCCTTGTTTTACCATCTTCCCTTTCTCTCCATCTCTACTTGCCATCCAATGACTCCTTGTCTCCCTATCTCTCTGCCCCTTCCTATCTCCCTAGCTCTGTCTTTCCATTTCTCTGTTTCTCCCTGTCTATCCACCTCCCTTTCTCCATGTTTCTCTTTTTGTCCCTACCTCTCCTTATTTCTCTTTCCCTCCTTGACTCTTCCCAGACGCCCACTTCATGTTTCTTTCCAGGCCTGTCTGAGTCCATTTCCTCCTTCTTGCCCCTGCCCAGGTGTGATCTTCAGTAATGGGGAGAGGTCCCGGCAGCTCCGATGATTCTCCATCACCACCCTCAGGGACTTTGGCATGGGAAAGAGGGGCATTGAAGAACGCATCCAAGAAGAAGCTGGCTTCCTCATTGAGGCCTGTTGAGGGACAAAAGGTGAGTAGGTCCTAAGAAGATTTCATGACCTTGGACAAGGTTAACCTCCACTATATGGTCTACCCCCAAATTGGCTACTGTTCTCTGTGTCCTGTGACTTACTTCTCCTTTACATCTAACCCTAGTTAATCTCTAAGGGTGTATGGGGTAGTTCCAGGAGGAACAAGTGTGAGAGCTTGCAGAGGCTGCTCATCCACCTTTGGTGTCCACTTGCCACCTAGCTCTCACCTGTGGCTCCAAGGAGCTATAGCATGCAAAAGAGCTACACCTTGGAAAAATTGTCTTGGAAGACAGGATAAACCATGTTGAGGGTATGGGCCTCAAACCTCTTGGTGAGTTAGGTGGATGTCTATCTCAAGCATATGAAGATGTCCCCCTGTTGGAATGGGGGGATGAGAACAAATTACTCCAATGGCCATGAAGGCAACTGAAGTAGGCACCATGGAGCCATTAGAGCTTGGTAAGGCATTGAAGCCACCAAGATCATTCACTGAATCCTGGGCCATTGACAGTCATCCTGACTGTTGTCTTGACACTGGATTTCAATAACTCTAGTAGAGAGAGTGAGACTGATAACTTTGTGCAACTTTGCCTCATTTAATACTAGCTCATGTGCAAGTCAAGTCATCATCCCATGAGGTCAATGTTCCTCTTTGTAAACAAAGGACAAATGATAACAGCTGATTTCTAAATCTTGCTGTGGGAAAAATCTTGAATTTGGAGTCATGGGACCTGATCTTGATTTGAACTTCTCCGCTTACTTGCTTTGTGTTTTTGAGCAGGTGACCTCACTTCTATAGGCCTTTGTTTCCTTTCTGTAAAAATGAGAAGGATGGAATAGATGGTGACCTCTAGCTTCCCTTCCACCTCTAAAGCAATGATTCTGTGATTCTTAGTGTCTAGGTTCAGAGACTGACACTTTCCCTGATCCAGGAGACCCAGATTAGAGTTTTAGCTTTGTCCTTCACTGGTTGTGTGATCTTGGGGCAAGTCCTTTCTTCATGTTGAACTTCAGTTTCTTTTTCTCTATAAAATTAAAGGGTTTGGAGTATATGATCCCTTCTGGTTCTGATGCTCTGTGAGTTAGCATGTTGACCTACTGAATACATGACCTTGGTCAGAGTTTTCCCATCTGTAAAAAGAAGGGTTTTCACTAGATGGACTAGGTAGCTGCAAAGATCCCTTCCATCTGACATGCTAGGTGAAGGGAGGCAACCTGGGGTAATGGATAGGGCATTGTACTTAGAATCAGGAGACCTAGGCATGGATCACATTTCTACCACTTATTACTTGAGCAAGTCACCTCCCCTCTCTGGGGCTTAGTTTCCTTCCCTATAAAATGAGCATAATATTGTTTGTGTCCTAAGCTACCTCAAAGGCATCATGGAATAATGGATATTGTGCAGATCTTGGAGGTAGAAAGATTGGGGTTCACTGATTGCTCCTGGCTTTGTGGCCTTGATGGCCTCTAAGGTCCCTTAATTATTTTGGTGGTGGAGATATTGGCTGTCCTTTGGAGGAGGCTGTGAGAGTCAGAGAAGAGTCACTATCTCTTTCTCTCCCTGTCTCTGCCTCAACCCACTTTATGTGCATCTTTATTCTCTCTCCTACTCTCCTGTCACCTCCCCTTTTATGCTACCTCTATCCAAAACTGTCTCCGTGCATCTCTTGGGGTCTCTGTTCCTTTCTTTCTTCTGCTTCCTCTTTTCCTCTCCTCCATCTCTCTGCTTTTGTCCTCTTTCTTCAATACTCTACCACTGTGCTTCCTTATCTCTGTGTCTGTGTTGACCTGGCTGGGCTACAGGGGCCCCCATTGACCCTACTTTCATCCTGAGCTGCACAGTCTCCAGTGTCATCTGCTCCATCATCTTTGCTGATCGCTATCAATATGAGGACAAACAGCTCTTGTCTCTGTTGCAAATGATGCTGGGGAGCTTCCGGTTCACAGCTACATCCATGGGACAAGTGAGCCCCAAGACCTTCTCTCCCACACAGCTGGGTCTCTACTCACCTTCATCCCTCAATCCTCAGGTTTCATTTATGTCCTTTACCTACTATACCCTATTCCTCAATCCGACCCCACTATTCTCAATATGAGCTCATGTCCATCCTTGATCCCCTTCCTCAGTCTGACCTCCTTTCCCCATTCTTATCTTCCATCATATCCTGCTTATCCCTTATCTTGTCCTATGCCCTGTCTTGATGCCCAACTCCCAATCAGATGCTCATCTCTCATCCTGACTGACTCATTCCAATCTGATTCTGTGGCCCCTCCTGACTACCTATTTTCCATAATGAACTCCATTCCAGATCCTAAACTACCATCTTTCATGCTGATAACCCACTCCATCCTCTTCATATCCCTCAGGCACAGTGTTCTGTACCCCATGTGTTATCTGTACCTCCAGTGTTCTGTACCCCATGAGTTATCTTGTGCACTCCCCCAGCTATATGAGATGTTCTCGGGAGTGATGAAGCACTTGCCAGGGCCTCAGCAGCAAGCATTCAAGGCACTGAAAGGATTGGAGGCCTTCATCACTGAGAAGATCCTGCAGAACCAGGCCACCTTTGGCCCCAACTCACCCTGGAACTTCATTGACTCCTTCCTGATCAAGATGCAGGAGGTAATGGCCCAGTGAGCAGGTGAAAATGGAGTGGATGGGCTAAGACCTCAGACTGAGGGTGTTACGGATCTCTGGGGGAAATCCCAGATATTGTGAAGTGAGATTCACAGAAATCAGGCAGCAGGTCTTGGAGGTGAGCAGGCAGCAATAGTAGACATTAGGTGGCAAGTTTCAGCCTTCCAGAGGCAAGGCTCAAAAGTACCCTGTGGCACATTCAGGAGGTAGGTTCACAAAGACCCCAGGATCAGGCAGTAACCTAGAGCACAGATTCAGATATACCGAGCATTTATGAAGGTCATTGTCAATTTGGGGGTAGCATGGCAAAGAGTGATAAAGATAGGGTGACAAATGGAGAAAGCAAGATACAGAGATGGGGGACACAGAATAACACAGAAACAGACACAGAGAAAAAGATCAGAGACATAAAATTGGAAACAGAAACACGGGAAGAAAAGGCCAACACAAAGAGACACAAATAGACATTCCCCTTTCTCCACTCTCCCTGCCACTTCAGATATTCACAAGCTGGGTATAGGGACTGGGGTGATCCAGAACTCAATAATCTAGTCCTAGTAGCCTTCCCTGACTTTCTTCATGAGACCTTGGGAAGTCCTTTCCTTTCCCTGGGTCTCTCTCACTTCATCCATAAAATGTAGGATGGAGGATATTAGATTTGTTGTGTTGGTCCTCAAGAGCAGAACCACGAACAATGGGAGAAATGGTAAAGGGAAGAATTTAGGTTTGATGTCAGGGAGAAACATCTTCCTGACAGTGAGAATTGTCCAAAAGTGCAATGGGTTAACAGAGAACTGATGGGTTCTCCCTCTTTGGAAGTCTTCAAGAAGAGGTTGGACCACCACTTGTCAGGAGGCTTAATGTGAGGGTTTCTATGGCTTCTGAGGTCTCTCCCAGGTCTACCATCCTGGGATTCTGGAAGGCAGCATACTGTAGTGGGTAGGGCTATGGACTCAGGGGTCAGGCATACCTGAGTTCAAATCCCACCTCAGATACTTACTAGCTATGTTACTCTGAGAAGGTTCCAACCTCTCTGTGCCTTCATTTCTTCATGAGAGTGGCTGGATTTGACACTGTCTAAGGTCCTTTTCAGTACTAAATTTATGTTCATTTGAATTCTGAGGAGATTAGATAGCTTTTTGAGTTCCTTTGAACTGAGATATTCCAGATTTATCAGGGGCCATTGATAGTTCCCCCCCATCTCCATCCCTGTACGTTCCTGAGGCTCAAGGAAATTGAGCTAACATGGGGGGAAAGGAGGCCTTGAGGCTGAAGAGTGAAGAGGCATAGCAAGTATGTGTATGTGGGGGTGGGGAGCCCTGAGCCCTGTCCACTCCCCCCAACAGGAAAAGGAAAATCCCAACACAGAATTCTTCATTCGCAACTTAATCATGACTACTCTGAACCTGTTTTTTGCTGGCACTGAGACTGTTAGCACGACCCTTCGCTATGGCTTCCTTCTGCTAATGAAACACCCAGAAGTGGAAGGTAAGCCCCTCTGCCATGCTCCCCTTAGATTTCCTTTGGAACACTAGGAGCTGCCCCAAACCTCTGTCTCTTCATCTCACACAGAGTTGTCCTTCACACACACACACACACACACACACACACACCCTTGGAACATAGATTATCCCCTTCACTTCTCATCCTTTCATCTCTTATCTCAGGGTATATTCAACCTCCACACTCCATCTGTTCCCTTTGGACTTCCCTGGGGTCTCTCTAACACCCTTGTTTCCTGCCCCTCCCCCAACCACAGCCAAAATCCATGAGGAAATTGATCAGATGATTGGGTGGAACCGATCACCCAAGTTTGAGGACAAAGCCAAGATGCTGTACACAGAGGCTGTCATCCATGAGATTCAGAGGTTTAGCAACATAATTGCCATGGGTGTTTCCCGGAGAGTCACCAAGGATACCAAATTCTGGGGCTTCCTTCTTCCCAAGGTAGGAGCCTCTCATGTTTAGCTCCACACCCCCATCCTCTAACCCCAGGAACTTCTCCATCTCTTTCTATTTTCCTAAATCTGCATCTATCATCCTCACTCTTCAGTATTCACTCACTCTCTTTACCCTAGAACCTCCCTCATCTTCCTCTTGCATAGGACATCCCTCCATTTGTCTTCTTCCTGCACCCAGACATTCCCCATGTTCCTCTTCCAAACCCTTTGCTCTGATGGATCCTCAATTCAGCTCTCTTGTTCCCATTCCTTCTTTCTCCCTCTCTGCTACCCCCCATCTCTTCCTCCCCCTTCTCTTCCCTTCTCTATTTCACTCTGTATCTATCTGTCTCCCTTTCTCTGTTTTCCTCTCTCTTTTCCCTCCCCTCTCCCTCCCCTCCCTCCTCTCTCTGTCTTTATCTCTGTCTCTCTTATTTCTCCCTTCTCTTTTTCCTTTCTTTCTCACTTTATCATTTTATCTTATCTTTGTGGCAATGGCCAAGTCATTTAGCCAATTCAATCTCAATGCATATCAATTTCCTCATCAGTAAAATTGTGATGATAATAATACTTTTATTGTTATGAGACTCAAAAAAGATAATGTAAGAAAAATATTTTGCTAGCCTTAAAGCCTGTAGAAATTATAGCTATTATTAGTACATAGCACACCCTCTGGGCTACTCCAGTAGCTTGAACTCATAAGTTAAGTCTCTGGGGGGCAGCTACTACCCTGGGGTTTAATATACTCCATGAATCTGCACTCCTAAAAATAGAGTTCTAAGGGCCCCATTGATGCACTTGCGTTTTTAAGTCAGCCAGTAGACGATTAGCTCAAAGGAAAAATGTCTAGTGAAGTGATATCCTAAGGACAACATAATAAAATGTCCTCCCCATAAACCTGGGGCACACTCTCCCACAACTATACCCATCTGTCAGTGGGAAAAGTAGCCATGCACTTGGTGTATACTTAGAGGGATGCACATACTTAGAGAATGTGTGTGGTCAAAGCAATTCACACCTCGGACCACAGGGTCCCAATATCCTTTCTATTTGTTGGTGTCCTCATCCTGCACCTCCTGGGCATAGACTTTACTAAACAGGCCTCTTAACTGGGTCCTGGGCTTGCTTGTTTCTGAAGCTTGACTAAGCTTCCATCTCTGAAGATTCTTTTTCATTCTCTCTGCTTACGGTCTCTTAGTCAGTCATTAGTTCTGATGCAAACCAATATAACCATTAGGACTGTAAGGATACACTCTGGCAGGGGAAAAAGTGGAAAAGCAAATAATCTCCCTCAACAGCTGGCTTCTTCTTTCATTGCTGGCTCTCTTCTAGACTGCCAGAAGTCACACTCCTTGATGTTGCTTCCTGTTTCCAATGTGTCCCAGAACAGACAAGTTCCATTTTTACAGACCACTAAGGGCATAGCTGTTCTTCTGTCAGTCAAAGGCAAGCTGCCTCTCAAATAAAACCAGAGAGTATTTTCATACTTAAAGTGGAAACAAAATGAAAAATTCCTCTTTGAAGACACAAACACCCTGTTGTCTTTGTTATTTGTCCCTCCTGTGATTTCATCGATTGAACTGGGGAGGGGGGGAACCCACTGATTAGGGGTATTCTAAACAACTCCTCCCACTACACTTTATTATAATAATTATTAATATAATATGTTATAATTATACAATATAATAAACAAACCAATAATATAATGTGTTATAATGTACTATTAATAATATATTAATAATACAATATAATAATAATTCACTTATTAATTCTTCATCTACAGATCAATTACTAACATTTATTATGGGTTTACTAGGCACTGGGATTTCATGATGAGACTACAAATATGGCAGCTGACCTCAAGGATCTTACATTCTATTAGGGAAAACAACATGTGCCCATATAATTGGATACAAAATATAAGGATAAGAACTGGACCTATTATTTCTTTGATATAGAGAAATACTTCTTGTGAGGGATTGTCTGGTGTTAGCTACTGCCAAGTGAAGATTGTGGCAACATGGGACGGGAACTGGGTATTAGGAAGTAACC